CGATTGCCTTGCCCCAGAGCTGCTGCCCGCTCACCATCTGCCTTGACCGGGTCGAGGAATGCACCATTCCCCAGCTACAGCCTTGCCCTGGAGCCACTGCCCACTCACTACCTGCTGTCCCTTAAGCACGATGCATCGCCCCATTTCCCCTCCTTCAGAAGCCCCAGCCCTTAATCTCCTTGCTTCCTCTCCCACGATCGCTTCTTTCGTCATCCCGAAGCCGCGACTTTACTTTTCTCTCGCAGCTGGCTGCCAGGAAAGACAAGCCAGGGCTGAGAGCCGTCCGCCTCTGGCCTCCCCGCCAGCCCGCATCTCATCCCACTTGTGAGATGCCTGCAGCTGCCACATGTTTTTGTCAGTGTGGCTGGCGGCGGCTACAGGCTTCTTGCAGCGAAAATTACTGACCTCTGGCTCCGCTCCATTTCTCCAACATGCCACTGCCACCCCCGCCCTGTTCTATGTGAAGCACACTCCATTGCCTGCTGCCGCTGCACCAGAAGGATTTGCTTGGGCAAGTACAAGTGGAGCGGTGCCCGCTCAGTCACATGATCTCCCACTAAGCCACGCCCACCGAACCAGTAGGGGAAAAATTTGAATACCACCACTGGTTACTGAGCATGTTGTTCCTTGGCATGATGAATACGAAGTTGACTTATTTGCTACAGTTCCTTGGCATGATGAAGAATGTGAAGAGATGTAATTTCTGACTGTTTGAAGTTTTGTTATAATACTGGAGTATAAAATAAACTCTGCAAATGAAGGAATCTGTAAGCCTAAATGAATTAATGTTTGGCCTCAGCCTTTTAATTTAACCAAATTGTAATATTTGTACTTATGTTTTTATTATTAAATATGTTATATCTGCCTATAAGTGATTCTTCATACTCTGTAAACAGAACGTGGCAAAATGCATAAATCGTTAAACTACTTTCATACTCATGGATCTCATTTGCTATTTTGTATTCCTGTTTCAGATTGTTTGTGGAAAGAATGTTTCCAAGACTCACAAATTGATACAATATACAGTAACTTCGGAGGTTTTTGTTCAATCTGGAGAAAATGGGGATGGGATAGAATAATTTTAATAGTTTTCCTATAATTCAAGAAATACCAGGATGTGAGGGACAGGCCACTGATTAGTGACAACTTTATTTTTTTTTCTTCCAAAATATTATAATTATACTATTTCTGGGACAAAATGATGCTGCCAAGAAATGTTTTGTTTTTGCCTGCAATTACCACAGGGTCCAGTGAAAATTAACATGCAAGAATTGTAATCAGAATGCACACTTTTGTTCTCTTTCAGTGAGCAAAGTAGACATTTCCATTTTTCTTTCAAAACAGTGTTTAGAGAAATGTGTTGTAATTGTCTTCATTGTCATAATATTTATATTTAAATATAATAGAAGTGATCTCCACTCAGATAATATTTACAATTTAACTGCAGAAAACTAAGGATGAGAACATAATTGTCCATTACAACAGTGGCCCCTAACCTTTTGTGCACCGGGGACTAGTTCTGTGGAGGCTGGTTTTTCTGCGGGCCACAGAGGGTGTGGTTTTGTTTGCTGCCTGCATCCCATGAATGGGCTTTGCTTGTTTGTGTGGCCCAGTTTTTGGGATTCCGTGGTCCGGTGCTGGGCTATGGGCCGGGGGGGGGGGGGTTGGAGACCTGTGCATTAGAATATATGTATCCAAGCTAATATCCTGCATCCTGTTTTCTACATTGGCCAACCTAATATGGAAGCCTCAAAGCAGGGCATGAAGGCAAGTGTGATAGCATTATTTTTCATGACTTTTGTGGAGAATAGAGCATATAAAGCTTGGCTTGAATTCATTTGTCACTTTTCTTTCTTGCCATTTAATTAAAGATTATTATATATCTTTCTTTGATCTATGTTCTGATTCCTATAAATGAAGGGGTCCTTGGTGTTCTCTGAACTTGGTTGTTTTCTTGAAGATGTTTCATTACCCAAACTAGGTAACATCATCAGTTCTAGCCCTAGCTTATTTTAAATTTCTGGAATGTGAAATTTTATATAGAGACAAATATTCACCATATATAGACTCGTAGAGTGTCAATGTAACCTTATTGCTATTTAGTCAACTAAGAACATAGAAGATAGAACATTGGGCTGAAATTCAGATTATCTATAGGGTCCTTGGTGCTTTCTAGTGCTTAGTTGTTTTCTTCTAGATGTTTCATTACCGAACTAGGTAACATCATCAGTGCTAGCCCTATAAGAAACATCTGCAAGAAAACAGCCAAACTGAGAGACCCCACCAAGGGTCTCTCATTTCAACCCTGAACTACAAATATTCTCCCATATTGTTCTTATAACATATAATGCAGATTAATACCCAAGAAAAAGTCATGTGGTAGTGATGAGACAATGACCTTTCCCATTACTCCTGTGGCTGTTGGACTTTGAACTCAGGAATCTATAATGTCCTTCATCTTAGGCTTTGTTCTGACCATTCTCTCAAGGAATTACCTTGCTATTGGGAAAAAAGAAATAATCTGGTCAAAGGATAAATAAGATGTAATCAGGGTACAAAATCATTGTATTTCTGATTGGTTTTAACTTTTTCTTCAGCATTATTTTAGTAATAGATCTTTTTATCGATTATCAAAATTATTTCTTGTAAGTTCTTATGGCATTAAATTATTTTTGGACACACCATTTCTAACTTTCAAAGTGCTACTAAAGATTTATTGGTTTATTATTGAATTATATTTGAATCAATAGAGTACCTTTAGATTCAAAATGTTGACTAATGTGTAGTTTCTATCTTACCTTTAAATAAATTGAAACTGAGGTAAAATTATTGGCTGGAAATGTTTTAAGTTTTAAAAATTTATACAAAATAAATCTCATCTCTGAATACTAATAGCATTGCACAAGTTGCTTCTGTTACATACAGGGGAACACTGATTTTTTGCCAATCTCTTTAACCTGATCTAGTCGCACCGCACCAGAAGCAGTTAGATGGAGGGTGTCAAACTTAAGGTCTGTGGACCAGATCTGGCCTGTGGAGTGCTTAAATCTGGCCCATGGTGCCACCCTGGTAACAATGAAGGACTGGCCCATGGTGCCCCTGCCAGCAAAAACAGAGCTGAGAAGGACCACATGTGGACTTCCCAGGCTCCCTTTTTTGGCTGCAACAGCCTCCTGCATCCCTCTGTGAGTGAAAACGGAGCTTGGGGTCTCCATTTTTGCTGGCAGAGGGCTGCAGGAGGCCATCACAGCCAAAAACAGTTTCCACAATTGACTTTGTGCTGGCCACACCACCCGGTCATGCCCACCCCAGCCCCTGAAACACATTCCTGATGTGGCCCTCAATGAAATCGAGTTTGCCACCCTTGAGTTAGATGGTTAGTTTCTTTAGATATTGAATTATAGCATCGACCTTATTGCAATTCCATGACTCCATATTATGGTGATTTTATTATAGTTTGATCTCATTAATTTAATATTTTATTTTCTATATTGTCCACATCTCCATCTCTCTCTCTTTCTCTCTAGATAGATAGATAGATAGATAGATAGATCTATATCTATAGATGTATATATATGTGTGTGTGTGTGTGTGTGTGTATGCATTTGTTTTCTTATGTTTTCGCGGGTATTTACATGTATGGTATTCAGCTTTTTTTCAGGTATTTTCCCATGTCTTTATAGTTGTGCTTTTAAAGTTGTAGCAATGTTTTGGCAGAATCTTACAACACACATGATGAAGACGAACCCAATACAGAAGCCTGATGATGGCAGATGAGATTCTGCCGAAATGTCGCTACAACTTTACAAGCACAACTATAAAGACGTGGGAAAATACCCAAACAAAGCTGAATACCATACATACATACATACACACACAACCACAATTAAGTGAGCTTTGTGACCTTTCTTACCATAATTCCTAAGTGAATTTCTGCATTTGTTAAATTAGAAATTAGGTTGTTAAGTGAATCTGGTTTCCCATTGACTTTACTTGTTGGAAGGTCATAAAAGGGGATCACATAATCCTGGAACGCTGCAATGGTCATAAATATGAGTCAGTTCCCAAGTGTCTAGTTTTGATCACGTGACCATGGGGATGCTACAATGATCATAATTTATTGGTTTATTATTATTTTTCATAAGTGTGAAAAATAGTCATAAGTCACTTCTTTCAGTGCCGTTGTAATTTTGAACAGTCTCAAAGTGAACTGTTGTAAACTGAGGATTACCTCTAAATGCTGATTTATTTAAACTGAATTTGTATATGTTATGATGGTATGACCGCTGTAGATCCTACACAATAAATTAATAAAATAAAATAAAATCCTACAACCTTTCATGCTATATTCCATGTTATTGCAAATGCTCTCTTATTTTCCTTAAGTGGCTTTGGGGTATCAGGTGGAAAAGCTGCAGTGGTAGGGAAGCAGAATTCGAAAGAAATCAAGTACAATATATAGTAAAAGTGGAAAAATGTCTAGTACAACGGCTCTGTTGATTACAACTGTGTAGGGATGTACAAAATTTATTAATGTGGCACAGATTCATTTGTTTCTGAAGCTTGTCAAACTGTCTCTGGACTGTCCTGTTCTAAGCGTGGTGAGCCATTTTCCCAAAGTAAATCCTCTGAACCAGAAATAATTCAAGTTGTACCATTCCAGGTCAGAAAGATTTAGAAACAGCTGAATTAAATTTCCAAGAATAGCATGGTCCCAGTAAGATTTGTTGCATCCTGGAGAAGCTCACATTTTCTGGATATTATGCACAGAGCAATGATTTTTGTAAAATTGTACATTTTAAAGTTAGGTAAGTAACTTGTCATCTTATCTGAGCGTAGTTTAGAATTTCTGCTATATATTACATTTTGGAAAATATACTACTACTGTAATTTAACATTTGTATTCAGGGAAAAATCACACTCATTATTTATTATAGTGAAGAAGTCATCAAAACTATATGTAAATAATAGTTTTTACATTAATTTGTATCTTTTTTTAGGTTATCATGAGTACCACATATGATTGGATTAAACTAATAAATGCTGAAGATGATCCCTTTTGTAGACAAGACTTTTAAGATCTGGGATTTCATATAATGAAGGTAAGGAAAAATACTCTCATGCAAATAACCAGTCATTAAAATTAGGCATTAAAAATACTTGTCACTTGTATCATCATATTTGAATCAGTATGAAATCGAATAACGATGGATATAAAGAAGCATGCTCATGTAATCATATTTTTTAATAAACTACCTATGACTAGACAATTTGACAATTCAGTTGATAATGGTTATTTATACCAATGTTCCCTACCCTAATCTCACTTACATGTATGGCTGTTCTGTTTCTGTAGACTATAAAATTAAAAGGTTGAATGGTTATTATTAATATTATGAAATTCTGAGTGAAAGTGGATTATTATATGGTTGAATCCTGCCTAGAGTAGCATATACAAGCTTGTATAATATACAAGCTGTATATGTTTATTTCTTTCATCCTAAATATTGGAATCCAGTTAACGTTTCTAGTTTTTTATTGAATCATTTGTATTAAATAAATATTCTTAAAAACAGAATTAGGATCAGGAATACATATAAGTTTTGGGTTATACATAATAATATTGTAAAAAGCAACATAAAATGTAGAATGTGCTTTCTTACTGGTTTAAGTAGCAATGCTCAATAAGATTTCTTAAATAATTTGCTTTGTAAAAGATTCTTTATATATCTGTAAAAACAAAATGCATTGTAAGTTCTAAAATAAGTAGCTGACATTAAGGGAATTTTAATGCTTATTATTTATTCTCACTGCAGTTTCACAAGGCTAACATAACTACTGTGCATATTTTGCAAGTCTGCTACAGAATTGCAGAATTTTATTTTATGAGGATCTCATCATTTTCACTTAGGTCATTAATAAATATATGATTCACAAATATCCTTACAGTTAGCGGAATACATTTGACGCCTTTACTGACTTGGTATTTTTAAAAAATCTCATCTTTCTTTAAGATACTAAGACAGTTAAAACAATAAATAATGTCATTAAATTAAATATTAAAAAACCACTTGAGACTTAAATTGCAATCCAGTTTTTGCTTCATGATTGACTTTCATATCTCAGACAGTTTTTATCATGTAATATCCATGTCTATCCTGATTTTCATACAAGAAAAACAATAGTAAACAATAGAGATGAAAAAGAGGTAACTGCATGACTAAATTAGCAGTAACTGTGAGAGGGATTTTGGAGTCTTAGTAGACAACCACCTAAATATGAGCCAGCAGTGTGCAGCCGCCGCTAAAAAAGCTAATGCAATCCTAAGTTATATTAACAGAGGGATACAGTCAAGATCAAGGGAAGTACTAATACCACTCTATAAAACCTTAGTAAGACCACACCTAGAGTAGTGCATCCAGTTTTGGTCACCACATTATAAAAAAGATGTTGAGGCTCTAGAAAAAGTACAGAGAAGAGCAACCAGGATGATTAGGGGACTGGAGGCTAAAACATACAACGAATGGTTTCAGGAACTGGGCTTGGCTAGTCTAATAAAGAGAAGGACCAGGGGAGACATGATAGTGGTCTTCCAATATTTGAGGAGCTGCCACAGGGAAGAAGGGGTCAAGCTTTTTTCTAAAGCTCCTGTAGGCCAGACAAGGAATAATGGATGGAAACTGAACAAGGAGAGATTTAACCTGGAAATAAGGAGAAACTTTCTGACAGTGAGAACAATCAACCAATGGAACAGCTTGCCCTCGGACATTGTGGGAGCGCCATCACTTGAGACTTTCAAGGAGAGATTGGACTGCCATTTGTCAGAAATGGTGTAGGGTCTCCCGCTTGGGCAGGAGGGTTGGACTAGATGATCTACAAGGTCCCTTCCAACTCTGATTAACTGTATCTGTATCTGTAAATTCAAAGGAAAAACTAGTTAGATTTCCAAACATGAAATTATAATGCAGTAGGAAAAATGTGGTTTCCATTCAAGTTTAAGAAGAATCCAGATTAGAAAGACACAAACTATGGGAAATGCCGATGAAGTAGAGATATAACAAATAAAGGGAGAAATATTTAGTTAAGGTATTTAACAGTAGAGATTTTTTTACTTCGTATAAAATCTCTTACATTTAACCACCAAAAATAACTAGTAAATCAACCCCACAAAAAAATCGACTTGCCCTTTAAAAAGTTCCAAAATGTTTGTTGGATAAATACTTTCATTATATGAAATCATAAAAATTAAATCTCTGTGCCTGCTAAAACTCTTCATTAGATAATAAACAAAGGCAATGTAGGGAAAAGAGATTGTGCTGAATCATAGAATCACCATTCTGGTTCATGTATTACTCTCAACTAATATTCTTCCAAGCCAGTAGGAAAAGGCAGTAGTGCTTAGGAGACCATGTCTTAAAACTAATAAATCAGATATTGATATATAGTGGCTTCCCAGAATGTGTTTCTGGCATCAGCTGGAATATACTTACCATTGGAAATTGATCAAATAAATATTGATGCAGTGTGGCCAAGCTAATTTAAAAATGCTGATTTTAATAAAGATTGAACAATAATGTACTCAAAATAATTTGCTGGAAACTCTTACAGTGAATTTATTTTTATGTCATAAAATTATCAGTTTTAGAAACCTAACATATCACTGTTTTGGTAAACCACAATAAATAATGTTCAGACTATCCCAGGAGCAAAAGAGATATGTGGTTAGAATGCTGAGTCAGAAGACCATCGAGAGATTGATGGCTTAGCAGTTTGAAATCCGAGAGCAGGCCATGTGACCAGATGAGCTCCCAGCAATTTGTCCAAGCTCCTGCCACCTAGCAGTTTGAAAACATGCAAATACAAGTAGATAAATAGGTACTGTATCACTTAAGTGGGACAATACCAAGGACTTGAATGGAGCCTCCTCAGACATTCCCTGGGCAATGGTGATGTCACTGGCTAATCTTTTCAACCTGGAGGCACCATAGTAGGTGCTTCCAACATGAATGTAGTAACACCATAAAATGGAGGTAGCAGGTTTTGCAGGATATGGAACAATAAATTCACGGTAAGATCATTTGCTAGAGCAGAATGTGTTTCTATCATAACCGTCTTTCAGTCTCACAGAACATGAGGTAAAACAAGGGTGGGAAGAACAAGGATACATAAAGTAAATGCCTGGGCTTCTTTAGTTAGATGATTATCTGATATCTGACTCTTATGTAGTATGCAATGTCTTCTGTGGCCTATTCTTCTGATGCTATTTCCCTTCAATACCTTGTTTATTCCCTGAGTGTTTTTATGATAGTTCTTTTAATCAAACTGTCAAACTTGTGGCCTGTGGGCTGGATGAACCTGAACCTGGCTCCGCAAAAGCCAAAAAAGTCACACAATGTCACATGACATCACATGATGTGGTTGAGTTTGACACCCATGTTTTAGATGATTGTGGGTTCAGTGCATTTCTACTGAGTAAGTTGGGTTTAAGTCTTGTATTAGAATTTTAAAGATGAAGGTGGTTTAAAAGGTGTTTGGTGAAATGATAGTCTTGATATGAGTGGAAATCAGAATGGAGTGACCTTACTTTCTTTAAGTAGTATAGAAGAGTAATGTGCTCCTAAGATGTGAAGAACAAAACTCAAAAGGAAATAACTTGGTTTATAACAGTTGATCAGCAAAAAGCTAATTTCTAAAAATAAGTTACTAGAAAATTACACAGACCTCTTGTTAAAGGAATTTAGAAAGCAAGACATCAGATTTTTTTTAAAAAAAAATTAAAGTTATTTCCAAGAGGCTCATATTAAAAAGACTAATGAGTAACTGCACATTTAATTTCTGAACTTGGTTTCTTCACAGGTTAGTTTGCAGATTAAAAAAAGAAAGAAACACAAAATAAAAGCAGCAGCAATTACAGTTCTATAAATTGTAAAACATGTGACCTTTCTAACGTCTCCTATTTCTTCCATACCTGTGGGAGAAATGTCTTTGCTCACGTGTTAAACACAATAGATAGTAGGTTGCATCCTGTTTATTGAACGATAATTGAGTTTTGATCAAATAGCACCACCATAGTTCTTTACAAACAACGCCTCTCCACAGTAAATTCTTCCTAGTCAGAGTGATATAGTCAAAAAAATTATTTGATGGCTTATCTTATCCTCATTCTATTTCTGTACAAGTAAAGACATAATAAATTTGGAGAGGGCTCCACTGTTTCTAAAATGCTCCACTGTGATTCATCCCTATATAAGTGCAGCTGTCTATGTGTAGCTTCATTGAAAGACTCAATGCAAATTAGTTGAATGTGGATTTGAGAAACTTGTGCCAAGCAAACAGGATATATATTCCCTGTAATTTATCAGCCACCTTATGTACTTGAGGAAAGTGAACAGAGCACTATTGAATACTATGTTTAACCCGTAAACACAGATTCATATGCTTGTGTAGAGATCCTTCATTCATTTTTAATTAAGTTTAAAATTTAAGCATCCATTGCAGATATATAAAGAACATTTCACCACTGTCTGTTTAGGATTTTTTCTCTGAATCAAATAAAAGTAACATTGTCAGTGAAATTCTGGTTTTTCAATTTCTTCAGACTTGCTCAGGAACTGTAGATTTTTTAATGTCATAACTTTCTTGTGGTTTGTCAGTGCTTACGTTTATGAAGGCATGGACCTAGCTATGCTTGTCATCTCTCATTTTAAACAGTCAAAATGTTACAGTTAGTGATCTTAGTGATCTTCGTAGCCAATTTTGCGTTCTCAACCTTATGATGGTATCAAAATGAATTCATACTTCTTATACTGGCCTTATTCCCAAATAAGATTATTTAGAAATATTATGTCATACAATTTCTTTCTGTTTTTTTTCAAGGTAGCAGATATACATACAGCTAAATATCTCACTGTTGCTTTTACATTAAGAGTACAGTTAAACTGAACTGATGGTAATCTTTATTGTACCTGACATAATCTACATGCTGTATATTTAAGATCTGTATACTGTATATGTCAGTTGTTCAATTGACACTGCAATTTGTGGCTAATGTATCATAAATTTCTTTCTCTTCGATTTTAGTCTGTATGAAAGATCTGAAGAC